GATATAGAGAGCAATTTTGGTTTTGGTTAAAGTCTAAAGTCACTAAAATCTAAATATTCTGTAGTATTCAGTATTCACTATTCAGTGAGTGATCAGTGTTGGCAGTCAACGATTTGGCTATTCGGCATCGATCGGCAATTCGCTACATTGATGCCCAAAATAACAAATAGGTATCAGGTACTTAGTACTGCTACTGAGGTGAGGTACCTGCGTCCTGCCTTTCACGAAATGACGAAAATAAGAATTTTAAATTTTAAAAACAGGAATTTTTTTGCCCATAACTTTTGATGGAGACGTCATAATCGAAAAAGTACGAATCGTTTTGGATTCTACGCACTCAAATTAATAAGAAAAAGTGTTTTGGTACAGTCGATTTTTGGTAAATAAGGAAGGTTATACGCTGCCTTTTTTTGAGCCCCGAAAAAAAAATTGTCTCAGATCGACCGGAAAAAAATATTTTCTTATAGAATGTGGCCTGTAGAATCCATAATTCTAAGCAGTTCCAATATCGGACTACTAGATCAAAAGTTACAGCCCTTTGAATTTTTTGTCGAAATTGGTTTTTTGCCATAACTTTTGATGGAGACGTCAAATCGAAAAAGTACGAATCGTTTTGGATTCTACGCACCCAAATTAATAAGAAAAAGTGTTTTTCCGAGAAATTTTGGTACAGTCGATTTTTGGTAAAAAAGGAAGGTAATAAATAACTGCCTCTTTTTTTGCCCCGAAAAAAAATTGTCTCAGATCGACCGGAAAAAAATATTTTCTTATAGAATGTAGTCTGTAGAATCCATAATTTCAAACAGTTCCAAGATCGGAGTACTAGATCAAAAGTTACAGCACTTTGAATTTTTTGTCGAAATTGGTTTTTTGCCCATAAATATACCTATTATTCTAAGTTTTCGTTGACTAATTAAAGCAAAAGCAATAAAGGGGCCTGTCAGCAGTAAGAAATAAAATATCGTTCTAATCTATTCGCCTGTACAATAATAAACAGATAAATGACTACCAGAATCAGCAACCTGCAACCCAATTTCTATTTCTTACCCCCCCCCC